AAAAACAAATAAACTTTTGTGCATTGTAGGGGTCCATACAGTTCAAAAGAAGCTCAGATAATTCTGAACTGTTGACATTTTCATCGAGAGGTTGAGAGGTTGGCTGTTTCGGTTTATTCAGGTCTTGCCCAGGTGGGCCTCCCCCAGTGGGATATCAACAGAATCATTCAATCTATTGACGTTGACGACTCGGGAAATGTTTCATATACAGGTGATGAAGACACCGTATACACCAACCGGATGCTGTGGTTTACTTTCAGCGTGAACATTCCCCGAGTGAACACGGCACAAGTTACTTGCCGTTTCAGCTTATAGTTTCCAATCGCGTTTTTGCATGTTGCTTACAGAGTTCTTGGCAGCGTGCTACTCATGGCAGGAATCAGAGCTAAATGTTATCTGGACTGCTTTTCAGAAGATGGACAAGGTAAGAATGATGTATAAAGATTATACAGTTGCAAATTTAATGTGATCACTCGAAAATACCCGCCGTTGCAAAACTGCTGTTGAGGTGGATGCTGGGGAACATGCTATTGATTATCATCTGTACAGGATGGAGATGGGAAAATATCGGTTCCCGAGTTTGAAGCAGTTCTTGGCGGCGAGGATTACCGTTTAGTCCCAAAGGATACAATAAAGGCACTCGTGGCGCAGATAGACAAGAATGGCGATGGCCAGGTTCGTTCAACTTTGACTCTTTTCTGACTTTTTTCGTTCAACTTTAATTTTTTGTAGTTTTATTCGATTTTTCAGAACCATCCAGATGCAGACGATGACAATCTTCTTTTTTGTATTTTTGAATCCATTTGTATGCAGATCGACTGGGACGAATTTTTGCAGTACATGAAGCTCAACTAGTCGGATGGTTTCTCGTCTTCTTCGAGACTAGGAAGAGGCCCCATCTCATTTGTGTTGTTATGATGATATAGGGCTGTTTGTGGGCAGTTTTTGTTAGCCACGCTACATAGAATACAGCCTTACACAGCTGTGGTTCTCCTGTTTTAGCTACGCTTACTTTGACGTGCCGTTTGCCGCTTATTAGCTGTATGATNACAGCTGTGGTTCTCCTGTTTTAGCTACGCTTACTTTGACGTGCCGTTTGCCGCTTATTAGCTGTATGATGCTCAGCTGTGGCATCATGTTGAGTACCTAGACTGGCATTGTGGGATAAAAGTTCTGAAATATGCTGTCATGCCAAAGGGCAGACATTAAGAACTATGGTGCCACTGGGTACCTACTGCCGAGAACATGTTCCATGGACGTTGCAGCATGAGTTGTGGTGTACGTACAACTACGGTTGGTGCTGGATACTGCGTCCATCTGCTCGTCACATCTTTTCTTTTTTGCTTCGCGTTTTTGGAACATCTTTTGCTGTTCATTCTTATGATCATCATCCCATGATTCATTTTCCCCGATATCGCAAGTATTCCCCCGGCTTCAACGATACGGCGTTTCCCTATCACCGTGTTTACGAGAATGAGTGAACGCAAGTTAAGCGATTCAGACACTCGCCGGAGTTCCACGGATCCTCATGCAAATACGGTATACTAATATATGACTGCCACACAACTCGTCGTCNGCCAACAGAACAATACTTTTCCCACAACAGCTGGTAACCCAACGGGACAGCCACGTGGCCTACCGCCACTTCCACCACGGCCTCAACATCCAGGGTAAGTTTGTAATGAAAATTTCATGCGAACGCTCTGTGGGTCGAAACTGAAACTTTGCAGCAGGCTGACGCCAGCATGTGTACCACCACCCCCGCCATCTGCTGCACCAAGGCACCCTATTATAGAGCGCTGGCTCAAGGGTACCACCAACATTTACACGTCTAAGCATACACCGAAAACGCCCGCGCCAAAAATAAGGAGAACCCCATTTACTGCGGAGTCACATCGAAGCTACCCATCATCTCCTTCCCAGCCGCGTTCACCAGATGAAGATGACGACGATTCACAAAAACAGGCACTTCTTGCAACACTGGCATATCCAGCCTGGAAAGCCTTTGAGAATGGAGAACTATATGACTGCATTGGGGATGAGAGAAAACGTTTAGAAGATGCCGCTTCGCAACGAGCTTCTGGCCNAACGATGCTTCATGCCCTGGCTGCCGCCAGGCCGGAGGCCACGGCACAAGCGAATTGCAACGTACACCCAGCCAATCAGCAGACGAGGACTCCAGCCAACCTACTTCCAGCGAAGATGAAGACGAACTCTCAACCCCAGTTCTACGCCGCAGCTCGACTGCAGGCCGGGACTGGGGTCCAATCCACGGCCATGGCATACAGGAACTCCTGGGGCGACGCGGGGGTCATGTCATAGCCCGAACCTCTCGCAAAACACGAAATATGAGCACGGGGTCAGATACTCACGATGTAGTGCCGCATCCCCGCCAGCGATTACACCCGAAACACGAGTCATACCAAATGCAGCCATACTCAATGTATTACGTACGCCAGACTCCCTTCACAATGCATAATCATCCACACTTTCAAGGCGCACGATCACAGCCTGGGCATCCCTTCAGGAAAGGCCACCACCACGGGCCTTATCGAATGTACCGCAACTTTCAACAGCAGTACTGGCGTCCAACGTTCCCGCCACCTCCGTTCAATAGAGGGCATACACAGGCGCACCGCCAACCGATGAAACGAGGATTCCAGTTTGATGGTTCGACGCCCCCATTTGTTCCCCAATTGGAAGGGAATCGCCAGCTCGAGCTTGATATTTTGGCAAAGGCAAGCGCTACATATGGCTATGATATTACGCACTTATGAATGCGTTTCAAAGAGATCAGGGCAACCTTGGGAGTTTTACGGAAACGCCGTCAATACGGAGAGATTCTTGCACAAGCACAAGGACGGAGAGGGCCTCGTTTTCCTTCGACTTGCAGACACTCCACCTGAAGAACGCGGAACCTGCCCGGACAAGATAGACATTTGGGTGAATGTTGGCACAGTTNAGACACTCCACCTGAAGAACGCGGAACCTGCCCGGACAAGATAGACATTTGGGTGAATGTTGGCACAGTTACATCAAGAACTGCGGGGAGGGAAAAAGAAGAATAGCCTGTGAGCAACGTTAGTATACGAGGCACAAATCATGGCGAGCCCTCCAAAATAGGGCAGATGCAATCGCAAATGCAAATTTCGCGTCCGCTTATATTCCATAGCAGAGCCCTTTACAACAGTAGATTCCCCTCTGTCAGCCATTCCTTCCATGGGAAGGATGGGACTAAAAACCGCAACATTGCCCTTTAGCGGTCCACCATATTTAAACTGTTTCAAGTAAATTTTGCGTAGCCAGACCTTTGAAATATACGAGTAACACAGCTGTGGCGCTCCCAGTGTGCGTTATGCATCGTGACAGATACGTGCCGAAGAGAGTTCTGCTCCCCAGAATAGCAGCAAATATCACTTGGGCATGGATCTCAAAGTCTTTGCTGCGGCACTGAGAGCAGAGTCAATGAGATACAGTGGAAGGCGTACAGCATCTGACAACCCTTGACGCATGTGTCCTGGGTTGACGAGCCCAGACAAGGCTGGCTCGAACTCAGTGTGACGTGTGTGTAATCCAAAGGTAAAAGTTTACATTTTCATTGCGAGTTGAAAAACTTAACATCCGGAGCAGTTAATACTCGCTGATGTCGCCGACAAAGAGAAAGAGGCCTACGTGAGCGGACCCGTTGGTATGGCTGACTGGCAGCCAGCCAGCCATTGTGCATGTAGCGCATGTCATTGCTCGTGGCTGAATAAATTTCAGAGTTGTTATTCAAAAAAGCATTGTTAACTGTTTGGTAATATACCCGGGGTCAAGACAGGGTGGCCCTGTTCAGTGATCGAGCAGACAGCTGTCGTCAACTGGTTGCATGCAGCAGGTCCCGTCTGTCTCGAGTTTGTTCTGTTCTCCCTGAAAATCTCTCTGACGAGTTGAAGAGCCAAAATTAAAAATTATGAATTTCAGTTGCAGCTGAAAGCAGAGCAGTCTAGAGGATGCAGGGACCTTCGAGTGGCGTTTGTTTCCCCGTATGCTTTCGTGTCCGTTCCAGGGCGTGAGCAGCCAACCCGATAATGTGAGATATTTCGCTGCTGCTGAGGGTTGTTTGGCGGCGACATCTCTTTATATTTCGACGCAGCAGTGAAGGAGTATTCGTTGGTTTGTGTTTTGTTATAGTTTCCGCTTCTGTGCGGCCGTGTTGGTTGTGTATCGTTGGGTGTTGTGTTTCTGTTGAAATGAATGTAAAGAGCTGCTGATGATCCTGCAACGGCGTTTGTGGGCCGAAGAATTTCGCGGATTTTTCTGTGAAGATGTTGCCGACAACTCTGCCGAGTTTTCTCCCGTCTGTACCCCAGGAGGAGCTGCAGCTGCCGTCGCTGCAGCAGCTGGACCNACTCTGCCGAGTTTTCTCCCGTCTGTACCCCAGGAGGAGCTGCAGCTGCCGTCGCTGCAGCAGCTGGACCTAACAAAGAAAAGAAAAACAAATGTACGGGGCCTCCCTTCTCTGGGGCCCCTGGGGGGGAGACGCAGCAGCCGCAGCAGCCGCAGCAAGACAGAGAAAGGGCTGCTGAAGAGCGGAGAGTTTGGGGGGGGGCTAACAAAACTAATATCACACGGGGGTGGTGATAAAGAAAAGAAAACAAACAAACAACCCCACTGTAGAAGTGAATTAGATGAGTTGCTGCAGATAGTAAAAACAATAGAAGAAGAGTGTTTGCTTGAGCCCGAGAAAGATAAAGAAACAGATAAACATGAAGACCCCTTTTTCAGGTGTATGGACACCATAATTCAAGTTTTAGATGAAACACGCGATCTCATCGATCAGAGAAAAAGAATATTAGAAACTTCAGGCGAGCAACATATACACACTGCGGCTGTTTCTCTCTCTCTTCGTCAACACTTATTTTCTTCTTTTTTTTATTTTTTTTGCTNATACACACTGCGGCTGTTTCTCTCTCTCTTCGTCAACACTTATTTTCTTCTTTTTTTTATTTTTTTTGCTCTTTATTTGGTTGTTTGGATGGAGGGGTGTTTGTATCTTTGTTTGTTTAGATGGTTGCTTGTTTATCTGCTCGTTTTTTTTGTTTTTTATCTCTTTATTTGTTTTTTTGTTTGGTGGTTTTGTTTTTTATTTTGCTTTCTTTTTGGTGTTTTCTTCTTTCATACATTTCCATCGTCTTCACAGCGGGCTGCCTCTCGACGGACCTGCAGCAGGCAGTTTGCTGCTGCAGTCTGCTGCTGCTGCTGCTGCTTTTGCTGCTGCTGCTGCTGCTGCTGCTAACGTCAACAGCAAGCAGCAACGCAGCAACAATCACCTATGTTGTTGTTAGTTGTTGTTATCGTAGTTTTTATTGTTTTCCTTTCTTTCTCTTTTTCTTTTTTCCTTCTTCTTCTTCATATTATATTATTTCTTACTATAAATATAATATTATTTAATATAATATAATATATAATATAATATATAATATAATATAATATATAATATAATATATAATATAATATAATATAATACAAAATAAAATAAAATAATATAATCTATTTGTGATACAGGTATGACGTATGAAGCAATAGCAAAGCGCAGCGCAGTGAACGACAACATTTTATATTTGAAGCAAAAATTTCGGCAGT